TGATTACAACTTTTCCTGGCCTAATTGACAGCCAAGGCAAATTAAGGTTGCAAGCTGGAAAATATGGCTTTTGGCCTTTGACCGTTATACAATAATTTTTCAATCAATAACGTGTAGATTTCCTTGAATTCTAAAAGTAAAAATCAAAGTTTACGTGAATGAGTAAGTAATATCCACTCTCCAGTAAAATGCATTTCAATGATTAAAGTCAATGCTGAAAATAAATTCCAGCTTCGTCTCTCCATGATAACTTCCCGAAATATCAAATATATGAATTTAATCAAATAGCTCGTAGGCTGATAAGAATAATTGAAAATATAATTCCAAGCGCAAAAAATAAACAGTACTAAGTGTTATTAAATGTGCCTTATAAAATTCGATCAGTGGATCAGTGATATCTTCATTTACATTAATTTACCTTAATACTAATTTTAAGGTAAACACGAACGAAAGTAAGTTTTATTATTTCACACGTACGTGGTTTGAAATTATGCCGTTTCAAGGGTCCCATATGTGGAGAGAATTGGGAAGCGGTGAAGTTGTGAGGCACTATGAGTACGTTTGATGGGAACACCGAGTGCATTAACGAATGGAAATGATCATAGAGGCATATCCAATTAAATTTTAGATGTCAAATATGACGCAGTTTTATGTCTGAACGCAATAGTAACTGGTAGATTTCATGTAAGCGAAAGTGATGAATTGCTTTTTAACGTTCAAATTAAAAGCTATTCTGTTAGGTTAGGCAAATTGATTTCAAGAAATCTTTTTGTGTTGCAATAAAACCAGATCCAACAACGAAGGGTATTCTGAAGGTTATAAAATGCACTACCACTACTTATTCATTTAAGTATAAATGAATATCATATATTTAAAAATATAACCAATCATCCTTTTTTGATTCAAAAAGCTAAATTTTAAAGCGATGCTTGGTTGTCGAAAAATCGATTAGTTTTTTAAAAAAAACTTACTATTTTGTAAATATTGACTAGCTCAAATGGCACATTATGCTTCAAGTGAGGATTTTGGGAGCATGATTTTTGGTAGCAGCGGAGATTTGATGTTATGATCATTCAATTTCGGGAGTGCAGCCTTGAAATTAATAGGCTGCCGAATAAGCATCCAATAAAGTGCTCTCTCTCAAAGACATAATGAGGGTTAAGTATGTTTTCGCTTGAACCTGTTTGCATTTGGTTATCACATCAATGACCACATAAGATGCGTTATAATGGTAGTAGAAAATGTCAACTTCTTATTTCAATGGAATTTTGTTGAATAATCATTTACTCCATTTGTTATGAATCATTAAAATCAAGATTTAATAATCATTCACGCAACAAATATGATCTAATGTCAAAATGCAAAATACATATTGTGAAAGCGAAAATTTCTTTTTCATTTCAACAGTGAACAGTGAAGGCGATAATTATTAAGAGCGTTCCATAAATTCAAAGTAGTATTGTTCATTTTTGCAAGCTTTGGCTTGGATTCTTGTTGCGGAAATATATTGCTGCATTAACAGAATCAAATTAACGTACAATAATTTTTCATTGGATTTTTACCCTGCACCAATTGCACCCGAAGCGAGTATCAAAAACCAAGACCACCAGGCCGGCATATTCCAACAATGCTAATAATGCCATTAATTCCAATGACATAGCTTTCTACCATGGCGACCTTTTTTGAATTGGTTAACTAATGCGTTCAGAAAATGCATCTCTGGTATTATTTTAAAGTTCAATTGTTAAGAATAATATTTGTTTTTATAGTAGGAATATCAATATTAAGCAATATTTAGTCAATATTGCCTAAAGTTAGAAGATTAGATTTAACGAGTTATAATCATATCCAGTTTACAGTTGCTTAATCATGAGATAATTCAAGATGCAACAAACTTAAAGCTCGAACAAAGGTGAAATTGTTGCCGGTGGCACACTCTGACATAAAAAACTGGCCAATAACCGAAGCCGTTGCTTCCTATGTAACCTGATTCTGTATCCAGCTATAAAGATAATGGCGACAACACAGAGATACTGTGAAACCAGATGACAGCTAATGAACTGCTTTATATGTACCTTCTTACTCATGAGGAAAGGTAAATTCAACTTTGAGGCCAATGATAAATATCATAAAGCCTGTCATTTGAAATGAAAAATAAATTTTTTGTTTTATTATTGGGCTTTTAATTTTTGATATTCTGAAGCAACTTTAGAATGCACTACTACCACTTGTTTATTTTAGTATAAATGAATGTAGAATAAATAAAAATATGCATAATCCCCTCGTTTTTGATACAAATGGCTAAATTTTGAACCGTTGCTTGGGTGTTTGAAAATCGGTTTAACTATTATAATAAGCTTACTTACATTGAAATATTGACTAGCACAAGTAGCACATTATACTTAAGTCAGGATTTTGGGAGCATAATTTTTGGTGGCATTAGTGTTAGTAAGCAACCTATTAATTTTCCAGAATGCAGCCTTGAAATTAATTGGCTCCCAAATAAACACCCAGCAAAGTTTTGACATTGCGAAGGTTTAGGAAGTTTTTGCCTGAAGCTGTTTGCATGTGATTTTCATTTCAATGACCACATGAGATGGGTAACAATTTTAGTAGAGAATTCCAACTTCTTAAATTCAAAGACATTAACCTGAATAATAATTTATTCCATTTAACACGAGTCATTAAAACCAAGCTTGCAAATAATCCTTCGCGCACATATAATACCTTTGGCTCAATCCTTAAGAATGTTCAAAATAAGTAGCGACATTTAATTAAATTAAGATGCTGAATGTGTTGGTTTATTTTTTTCACGAAATGGATGGTTGAAATGAGATTGCAGTTACAATCATATCAAGTTTACAGTTACCTTCACTAGGTCAATCCAAATGATTTCTGTATACCTTATCTAACGATTTGTGCACTTCGAAAATGCGAATTTGTAAGCCTTTCAAAGTCCAACTGATCAGGATTTGCAAATTGTAAATTCGAACTAAGCTGCATCGGAAATTTGTTAAAAGTTATGTTCTTCCACGCCAATGCCTCGTCAGGGCGAATCACAACGTCTTCAGATCCTCCAGTGGAATGCTGGAGGAATGTCTCCGGACAAAAATATCCAAATACAGAAAATCCTACAAACCAATGATATGGACATTTTCACAATTGTGGAAGCTAACATTTCGGATGACAAACTGAAGTATTACCAATTCTCAGGTTACACCCTGTACAACCTACCTAAATACCGGCAAGTTGCAAGTGGAATTCTAACTGGAGTAAAAGATGGCCTCACCTCACACTACACTCTAATCAAGAGTATGGGCTCAACACAAGACAAATGTGAAATAATCAGATTAAATGTTTGAAATGTCAAAACCAATTCAAGATATATGCAGTCTATAATCCTCCCCAGAAAAGTCCAAGCTTTGACTTTCTGGACATCTCACAAAAAAACTATAGTAGTAGGAGACTTCAACGTCCACTCCACAAGATGGGGCTACACGGATACAAACATAGCTGGAAAGGAAATTGAAGACATGCTAAACAGCAACACTCTGGAACTTATTTATAGCAATGAGGATCCGGCTACATATTTGCACTACAATGGATCCAGAACAACTCCTGACTTACTCCTGGTTTCAAGCGACATCAGTGAGGATACGCGCCGCAAAATAATTGACGATCCTGGTTCTGGTCACAAACCAGTCATTGCTAGTATTACCATCGGCAGCAAAAGCATGTCAAGGAAAGTGCCAACTAAGCTATCATGGAACTTCAAGAAGGCTGACTGGCCTAGATTCACAAACCTTTTAGAGGATGAACTCCATTCAAGTCCCCTCAACTTCAACCAACATCCTGACAAACTTTGCACTGCTATCACGAATATTATGATCAGATGTACAAAGAAAACTATTCCTCGAGGCAAGACTAAACACTATCGAGTGTTTTGGTCTAAACACCTTGAGGAACTGAAAAGAAAGCGGGAGGCCCTTCGCAACACTGCTGATCAGATTGGAAGAACGGAATATGTAAAAACCTGGAGACGACAAACAGCTGTCCTAAGGCAAGCCATCTTACAAGCAGACGACAATCAGCTGGCCTAAGGCAAGCCATCTTACAAGCAAACGACAATCAGCTGTCCTAAGGCAAGCCATCTTACAAGCAATAACAAAAGCTGTCCTAAGGCAAGCCATCTTACAAGCTAAACGGACTTCGGCAAGCCATCTTACTAAACGGATGGCTTTCGACAAGTTCATCTCAAATATCACCTATCAAAGTGATGCTGTTCTAAGACAAGCCATCTTACAAGCTAAACGGACTTCCACTATGGCAAGCCATCTTGCAAGCTAAACGCACTTCTTTCGAATCTCAAATATCAACTATCAAAGTGATACCCAACGCACTTTCCAACAATATCAACTATCAAAGTGATAGCCAACGCACTTTCAAATTTCTGGAAAGTGATAGCCAACGCACTTTCAAATTTCTGAAAAACCTGCTAGCCAACGCACTTTCAAATTTCTGAGAAACCTCCAAAACAGCAGGAAAAGATCCAAGAGAGAACCAATACGGTTAAACAGCAAATTGCTTACCACCGACACCAAGGTTCTATTCCCACAAGCAAATGAAAAACACCTTTGTCTGAAAATCTTCAAGAGATTTAAAAATACAAGTTAGACAGTTTGGTGAAATTAAGGAAGACACATCAACACCAAATAATGTACTTACTGAACCATTTCCGATCTTGCAAACTTANGGTGATACTTTCGGACTCACAGTCAGCAATGGACTCTATTGGAAACAGAGAGACACTCAAAATAGCTGAGATAAAGGAATGTAGAAAACTGTATGAGCTGCTGTAGAAAAACAAAACAGTGGTCCTACAATGGATTCCTGATCAACGGTCATCGAAGGTAATGAGCTTGCTGACACACTTGCTAAGAAGAGGACAACGATTTTGCAATGCATGGACCGGCCGATGTCTTTACATACCTTAGAGAGAATTCCAGACCTCAAGGTTCAACGAACTCAAAGCTCGAACAAAGAGAATTCAAGACCTCAAGGTGCAACGAACTCAAAGCTCAAACAAGGGAGAAATAGTGGACAGTGGCACTCTCCGAAATAGCCGACTGGCTAAGAATCGAACACTCTCCGACATAGCCGACTGGAAGAGAATTCAAGACCTCAAGGTGCAACGAACTCAAAGCTCGAACAAGGGAGAAATAGTGGACAGTGGCACTCTCCGAAATAGCCGACTGGCTAAGAATCGAAGCCGTTGCTGAGTTTAACTTTGGCCAAGAATCGAAGCCGTTGCTGAGTTTAGACTACGTACCGGACGGATTGCCTGGCAAAACACCTTCAAAGATTGGGAGTATACATTAGTAGACAGTGGCACTCTTCGACATAGCCGACTGATCAAGAATCGAAGCCTTTGCTGAGTTTAGACTACGTACCGGACACGATTGCTTGGTAAAACACCTTCACAGATTGGGAGTATACAATCAACCCACATGCCCTCTATGTAACCTAGATGAGGAAATGGAGAAGATCTACCTGATTCGGTGTCCAGCCCTAAAGACAACGACGGAAAGCCAAAGACACTGGGAAGCAAGAAGACTGCTAATGAACTGCTATTAATTAACTGCTATAAATGTACCCCCCCTCTCTTGAGGGAATCTGAAGTCAAAGATTAAGGGCTAATGATAAATATCATAAAGCCTGCCATTTGAAATAAACAAATATTCGGCAGTCGATAAATGTTTAGGCTGCACTCCCAAAATCCTCACTTGAAGTATAATGTTCCGTTTGAGCTAGTCAATGTTTACAAAATATTAAGCTTACTTTAAAAGTCTAATCGATTTTTCAACAACCAAGCATCGCGTTAAAATTTAGCTTTTTGAATAAAAAAGTTGGATTGGTTATATTTTTAATTTTTTTATATTCATTTACACTTCGTTGGTGGATCTGCTTTTGTAACAACATAAAAATTTAAAAGCATAACAACATAAAAAATAATATATAATTTAGATTTCACATGGCAGGCTTTATGATATTCATAATTGGTCTCATAGTTGATTTCAGCTTTCCCCATGCGTAAAAAGTTCCTTTGTAGTAGTACATTAGTTGCCTTCTCTCTTCCTATTATCTCGCCTTTTTCGTCTTGATTAATTGAGTGCTTTCTCCTAATCTATGAAGGTGCTTTTAAATGCCATCTTGTCCGGTTCGTAGTGCAAATTTTGCAACGGCTTCTATTCTTGGCCAATCGGCTATGTCGGAGTGTGTCACCGTACTCCGTTTCTTATTTGTTCGAGCTTTAATTTCGCTACACATCGAGGTCTGGAATTCTCTCCTGATTAAGGTCTTCATTGTGTGGAAAGTCATCAGCCAGTCTATGCCTTGCATAATTGTCGTCCCCTTCTTAGCAAGTGCGTCAGCAATCTCATCGCCTTTAATGCCACAGTGATCAGTTATCCATTCCACGACAACTGTTTTGTGTTTTACTCTCAGCTACTAATATGGTTTTTACATTTGTATATCTCAGCTGTTTCGGGTGGCTCATTGCTTTCATTTATATTATTGCTGACTGTGAGTCCGAAAGTATTACGTCTTTGGTGAATTTCGTATTCAGACAACATCATTGATTTACTTTTCACATGGCCTTTATTTCCCTTTCGAAGGCAGATCCATTGTGGCATTGAAGATTTCGAGAAATTAATCTGCAGGATAGTTGACATTAGTTGTCTCAAGGTACAGCGAGCGCATTCGGAGCTTAAAAACAATTCCTTTCGGTTTTGATTTCAGGTACATGATTATTATTATTATAGATTTTCCCTGTTTATTTAAACTTGAATTTCCATATTTATTATCATTACAGAGTATCAAACCACTAGTCGTTAAAACTTCTGATGGCAATCCTGGCAAGGTTAATTCCAATTCTCTACGTATAATTGATGAGAAAAAGAGGTCATTAAATCCTTAAGTATTTATCTAAATAACTCGAGTTGCAAAATTGGTAAGCGTTGTCACTTGTCAAATTTCCAACCCAAATTACCTTTGCCTACTGATAAATTGGTGTTCTTTTTACTTTTGTTAAATAGCTTGGCTTTAAAGCATTAGAGATGATTGAATATATTGTTATTCAATTATTCCTTCCATTGTATTATGAATAGTACCCCACATTATTTCGGAAAATATCTTTATACCTTAAAATTGCTTTTCAAGCAAAAAATATTAAATAATTGAATTATCTAACATTGATAACTTTTTCATATTTGAGAACTATGCAAAGGAATCAAAGTTGTTTATTAAGAAGGTAGAAGTATCGAAAAGTAAAATTATCAAGATTTGAAAATCAGAAATTTACATGCAGGAATACTTCGCCTGTAACATTGATAAATCAATTGGGGTAGAAATTGTGGACGGACTAATTATCGTTTAGAATTACACGTTTATCATTTTAAAATGAGATTTTCATTGAGTAAATCTGTTTCTCAAACGTGCATTAAATATTAACCGATAAGGAACTGCTCGGTTTTTTAATGCACTTGTGCGAATTGGGTACAACATTAATTTCGTAAAATACGCTTGTTTACATGGAAACAAGTTTAAAAACTTGTTTACACGTGGGATAATTAATTTGATCATTGTACATTATTTAAATTACCAAACTGGATGAAGAACAGGCGATTCAGTAAATTTTAACATTAAATTATACAAAATGCAATTATTTAGATATTATTAGAAGTATTGTCAATTTAAGCGAAAGTAAAACTATCCGCAATGGTTCAAAATAACTTGCAACCGTCCTTTTAAATTTCATTTGCATAATTATTGACACAAATGTGGTCCTCTAAATTTGTAACTTATGTATTATAATTGCCCGAGACTTTATTTATCCATTAGAGCCAAATGCTATTTGAAGTCGAAAGGATTGTCGATTTGTTGAAGAGTCGTAAACTTTTCATTCATTATATGTACGATTCACATAGTGTAATTAGACATGAAACCATTTTGATGCCATCAATTGATAGTCTTTCAAGTTTTAGGTTGAGCCACATTTCTCCATGTGAGAGCGTCTGGGAAAGATGACGTGAACCTATTCATTGCTTGCAAACTTCAATCCTCATAATTACAGCCACACAAATAAAGTTTCCAATGCAGTAAATGAAGAAAAATATGCCAATAAATTGTGGTTTCCACATGACGTGAAAGTATAAATGCAAATATGATGGACTGCTTGAAATGCAAACAGATAACTGATGAACTTAAGTCTTAGTCAAATGGCATAAGATTTATATCAAAATTACTGAGATGCTAGAAAAACAAACAAGAGGTATTGAAACGAATCATATAGAGTTTATGTAAATGTTATTTTGCAAAGAATCTCGCAATTTCAAAGTTTCATATTTCATTTAAACAAACATGGTGATATAGTTTATGATTATAAAATAATCTACTGATAGGCATTGATAAAACTAAATGTTTGAAATTATTTGCCATGATGCGCTCTGTTAACATTGAAAAAATATTGCAAGAAATGTGTTATTAAAAATTTAAGCAGTATGCCATATTCTAACGATTAAATTTGTAGCAAATTCGAATTTTCTGTTGCTCCTTGAGGGCAATTTAAGATGATTCATGAAACGACGATGGCAAGCACAATAAGGGTTTCGAAGTCAAACTTTGCATTTTGAAAACTCAATTTTGATGCGAATTTTAAAATGGAGCGTAAGCGAGGAGTTTGTAGCGGATTGCTTCCTTAGTAAAGCCTGACTGACTCAGAAATCTCTATGGCGGATTCTCAAACATCTAGCTAGACTCCCAGAACCAGGTAAGCTATAGCCCAGCTATGTGAGGAAACAGACGTGTAGCACGGAGCA